GACATCCAGGCAATGTGCAGGTAGGTCTTTTCGGTATACATTTTAACTCTTGGCATCCATGTGCTAAGCATTTGTTCAAGCACACAAATGAAGTTCAAGTTAGTTTGGAGTAAGAATATACCAACACTGACCTTGTAACAGGTTGCCAGTGCTTGTTCTTCCAAACTTTTTCTTTTCTACCTTTCTTGTCTCTCTGGGTATGTATCTAAAACCTACAGGGCCTCCTTCAACAGGATTTATGGTGGTGACATTTATTAACTGTGTTAAATGAATAATATTTATTCCTTTCATTCTAGGTAAATGAAAATCATAGAGCCAGATAGTCATTATCCAGATGGTCCTAAGAGCTCATTCAACCATAAGAGAGCTAGATATGAATAAATTAGAGTCCATAATGAGTAGAGAAGGAGAGAACTGCATATTTTCATAATCACTACCATCATTTAATGTTTACTTGTTTATGTATAACAACTGATTTACAACAGTGCAAGTAGAACATGAGTTTACCCCATTGGCTGAGATTTCACTTTGTTAAAATGATGTTTTGATTACCACAAAACAAAAAGAAATCTTTACCCCCAAATAAAAGAATTTCAGTATTTAGAAATTCTGCAAGGCTTCCTGGAAATTCCATATCTGTAGCGAGTGATGTGGGCTATGAATATTTCATTCCACTCTGCTTTTTATTCTCCCTCACGTATTGTCCCAGATGCACCAGCTCAGCACCTGTAGCACTTACTTTGGTCTACATCAGGGATTAGAAGACTCATGAGTGTTAGTCTTACCTTGGACCCAAAAATTCTTTCTTAGGCCTACAGGAAATACGTCTAAAAATAAGTGAAGTGATGATAGTTTTTATAACCATAGCCTTAACATCAAACTTGAAGGGTTTCTATCCCTCTCCAAATCTTCGGTAAGAGCTAGACGGCTTTTCCATCCATGTTTTGGTGAAGAAAATTACTTAGGAGGTTCCTCTAGCAATCAGAGGATCTTCTCTAGTAATCAGAGCTAGTTTGCAAGCCCACAAGGAAACCAATGCTGTATTCTTAGGATCATATCTCAGTTTTTATTAAATCTAAACATTTCTCCAGGTTTAGGGATTAGTTTTCTATTTTTGAAAAATCAGATTTACTCTCAAAAGGACTAACATGCTTTTTTTAAACCACTTTGGACATTAAAAATGCTGTACCTAACTTCCAAGTTGTAGACTCCAAATGGAATATGTGTTCCTGATTTGGGCTACCTCATAGTAATAGCAATTGCTATTTATCAAACAGTATTAGCAATTGTTGCCATTTTTATTGGAATCTATAAATGCCATATAAAAATGTTTTATCTTCCTTTCCTACTCTATTTTCTTTCTTTTCTTTTTTTTTGGTCAGTTGTGGGGCCTGAACTCTGGGCCTGGGCGCTGTCCCTCAGCTCTTCAGCTCAAGGCTAGCGCTCTACCACTTGAGCCACAATGCCACTTCCAGCTTTTTTTTCTGCTTATATGGTGCCTAGGAATCAAACCTAGGGCCTCATGCATGCAAAGCAAGCACTGTACCAATGAGCCACCTTCCCAGCCCCCTACTGTTTTCTTCTGACTTATTATACCTCTTTCTTTACATCTGAAACTTGTTCATCTTTCCTTGCTTGAGGTCATCTATGTGCCATCTTGTGTTTGTATTCTTCAATTTTCAGTGAACCACTCTTGCTAGTGCTTCAAAACTTTACCATTTTTATAGATCTTTGTCATTATTAAGTGTTTTGAATTTGCATCTAATCCTGGCTTCCCACCTGGGTCAATTTTGTTGTCATCTAAAAACATTCATCTTCAGTACCAAAATTATAATTTTTAAATCTTCTTTATTATAAAATACTGTACAGAAGGGTTGCAGTTACATGAGTAAGGTAATGAGTACATTTCCCGTTGAGCATTGTTACCCCTCCTTTGTTTTTCCCCTACCATTTTTTCCATCCGCACCTCCCAAACTCCACCCCCACCCCGAAGTTGTAAGTTCATTTTCAACATAGTGTCTTGAACAACTCCTTGTTACAATGGGTCAACCTGTATCTTTGTTTCAGCATTTTGTTATTTCCCTTCCCCTCCCCAAATTAGAAAAATGTATATACAAGATACAGGACACCAGAATCAAATACAGTGAAAACAGGGGTTATACCATTGGGGAAGAACACACACACACACACACACACACACAAATCACATAGTACATTAAAAACAACAGCAACAAAGATAAAACCTCTTGAGTCCCTATCTTGGGGTTCATTTAGCTTAGTCTCATCTCATATGGTCTTATGTACATAGCTTTCACCTCCATGAGAAAGAAGGACATTGCCCCATTTGTTAGGAAATGGAAAGACTTGGAAAAAATTATATTAAGTGAAGTAAGCCAGACCCAAAGAAACATAGGTCCCATGGTTTCCCTTATTTGCAATAACTAGTATACATCTAGGATAATCTTATGAGACAAGCAGAAAAGGTCAACAGCTATGTGCATAATTATAATTTTTGAAGCCAACAATATGCCAGATACTGCAGGAGGGACTTATGAGATCTGTTTCTTTAATCCTCACAATAACCTCAGGTTGATGGATGGTATTATAATTCCCACCTAACAGATCGTAAGGCTGAGGCCTTGAAAGTAGAATGTATCCAAAGTCAAATGGCTAGAAAGCGGGGTGGTTAGGATTCAGACTCTCAGCCATCTAAAGTGCTGTTTTCCTCAGTACTATGACATTTGGAATTAGGTGATTTGGGGTTGAGTGGAAGGATTGTCTGGGCATTGAGGTATATTAAACAGTAGCATCTTTGGCCTCTGCCTTCCAATAGCCTGTAGTTTTTTAATGTAGCCCTTCAAATTGTGACAACCAAACATCTCCAGTGTCCATATTCCCTGTAGTGTATTTAAAAAATATTAGTCTAATACCAGATTCATTCTTTTCACTACTTTATATTGTTAAGGAAGTGAAAATACCACAAAATTTAAACACACAGTATTAAAAGGATTCAATTTTAGAAGTCACTACACTTGGCTGATTATCGAAACTGGAAATTTGTGGAAGACTCCACCCAAAACATTCAGAAAAGATATTGCCAGGTAGCCTATTCATGATGTAGGAACCACAGAGAAAATCCTAACCTTAATCACATCTGCTTCCTGGGATCACTCTTCCCCATCTCTGCCAAATTGTCCTCTAACCTTGGATTTAACACCTCCTGTGATGGCATTTCAGGTGGTAATTCCATCTCCTAACCATCCTAAATGTGAAAATGTGTTCTTCCTAATATGATTCCTTGTCTCCTTTCATGTAGTTCCTTAGCCCACTAATTAGCATTTTTCTCACACCAGTGGAATTCAACCTAGTTTTGCTATAGTCTCTCCTTAGAACAGTTTCTTTGGGCTGTTTTTTGTTTTGTTTTGTTTTGTTTTTGTGCTGGTCTTGTGGCTTGAACTCAGGGCCTGGGCATGGTCCTGAAGCTTTTTCACTCTAGGCTGCTATTCTGTCACTTTAGCCATAGCTCCACTTCTTTCTTTTTGGTAGTTAATTGGAGATAAGAGACTCATTGACTTTCCTGGCTCTAGAACACAATCCTTAGATCTCAGCCTCCTGAGTAGCTATGATCACAGCAAGATAGATATTGATGCCCAACTCCACATGGTTTCTTTACCATGGTAAAACCATTATGTGCTCCTTAAAAATGACCATCTATCAGTTTTTTCCATCTAATAATAGATTTCCTCAAAAGGGCAGTTACAGCTCATTAAAATCTTACAGATTGCAAACTCAGTCTGCCATGCAGATGCTACCTGAACTGAGGCTGCTCCTGGTACATAGAGAGACTTTCTCCAGAGAAGCTAGGCTGAAGTGGCTTTTCCTCTTCCTCTTCCTCCTCCTCCTTATCCCATATTCACCAACCCCATTTTAGCTGTCTTTGGCTCTTCTTCCTGGCAAAAGCATTTTTTACCATATGTTTCAGATTTCTTGAAGGAAGAAAAAGAAAAGAAAAAGTCTACAAAAAATCTCACTGTATAATAAGCCTTCTTAAAATATTTTTATTAACTTGATTCATGTAAGTAAGTAAATGAAGAAATGTAAGTTAATTTGGTTAATATTTCAGGATTCAGGCTGAAGTTTTTTCTTCTTTTTTTGGTACATAATTTTAAGTAGTTATACAAAGGCATTTCAATTCAGTGTGTCAGTTCAGTTTTTTTTTTTTTTTTGGTCCAGTAATGGGGCCTGAACTCTGGGCCTGGGCGCTGTCCCTCAGCTCTTCAGCTCAAGGCTAGCGCTCTACCACTTGAGCCACAGCGCCACTTCTGGCTTTTTTCTTTTTGCTTATGTGGTGCTGAGGAATCGAACCCAGGGCCTCAGGCATGCAAGGCAAGCGCTCTACCACTGAACCACCTTCCCAGCCCCAGTTCAGTTTATTCTTTCTGAACGTCAAGCAATCTTACAGCCTAAGCTCCTTCTTGGCTCCCCTCTGAGTCGTCTAAGAGCTTTGCACTTTTAGAAAACTGCCTCTCAGCAACAGATATTGGATAATTCAAAGATCACGGCAGTGAAGTAGGCACTAATATTGTCAGCACAGCCAGTGCCCTCTCAGAGGTTAACCTATAGGTGACCAGTCTTACCAGCCCACAGACATGAGTAACTAAGTGAGCTATAAATGTGTGCCAGCTGTCCTTACAGTGCCTGGACAGATCTGCAGTGGGCAGGTTATGTTTAGAGAAAACCAAGGAGAAAATAACATGTTAACCGGAATAAACTGTTTGGGGTCAAAATAACAGTCTGGTGTTTTTGTTCTTTGGTGAGATATAAAAAGAAAGCTTGAGTTTCAACTAGGCTTCATACGAACTTCTAAGCTTCTTTGCCTAGGCTTGCGTACCTCCAAGGACGTGGTTGGACAAAAGCAAAACTGTTCTGAGCGCCTCTGGTTTTGGATTGCTCTTGAAAGCTTCTGTGTGTCTAATGTGGCATCCATCTTCCTCCTGCAGAGTTTTATAAATGGACACTGACATGGACTACGAAAGGCCCAACGTTGAAACCATCAAGTGTGTGGTCGTGGGGGACAATGCTGTGGGGAAGACACGTCTGATCTGTGCCAGGGCATGTAATACCACGCTGACGCAGTACCAGCTGCTGGCCACCCATGTACCAACTGTGTGGGCGATCGACCAGTACCGAGTTTGCCAGGAGGTAAGATATACAAGGTATCTTTAGAATCCTTAGGCCATCATTGCTGTCTGCTGGTCTGGAAGGTGGCTAAAATTAAAACACCAAAGAAAATTAAGCTTTTTTTTCTTTTTTTCTTTTTTTTTAATTGTAAAAACAGTGTACAGAGGGGTTACAGTTACGTGATGAGTACATTTTCTATTGAGCATTGTTACCTCCTCCTCTGTTTATCCCCTACCATCCCTTCCCTCCCCACCTTCCCAAGCCCTCCCTTCCCCCAAGTTGTAAAGTTCGTTTTCAACATAATGTCTTGTACATCTCATTGTTACAATGGATAAACCTGTATCCTTATTTCAGCATTTTGTTGTTCCCCTTCCCCTCTCCAAATTAGAAAAATGTATATACAAGATGCAGGGCACCAAAATCAAATACAGTGAAAACAGGGGTTATACCGTGGGGGAAGCACATACAAAAGAAGCAAAAAAAAAAAAATCTCATAGTGCATTTTAAATATGTTAAAAACAATAGCAAGCAAGAAAAAAACAGTTGTGTCTCTATCTTGGGATTCATTTCACTTAACATCATCTTGTATGGTCCTATATACATAACTTTTGACCTTTTCTGCTTTAGTGCTACAGGAGAAAACAAAAGCAAAGTGCATCCTTGGGAGTATGGCTATGGTACCCAAATGAGGTTTAAGTCCTGTGATTTTCAGAAGGGAGGAAACTCAGTGCAAGTGGGTTGAGGGGTAGTGAGGGGTGGTGACTTGGACTTCCTTCCCCCTGGGGAGGCTCTGATTAACCTCTCCCTCTCCCCTCTCTCTCCTCTTGTCAGGTCCTAGAGCGTTCCCGGGATGTTGTCGATGAAGTAAGCGTTTCTCTTAGACTTTGGGATACTTTTGGTGATCATCACAAAGACAGACGTTTTGCATATGGCAGGTAAACTAAGACAAGTGCATCGTGTTTGAGCCTGAGTTCAATTTCCTTTGCAAAACTAGCAGCTGGTTTACAACTCAACAAAAACCGCATCAGAGGGCCTTGAAAATATATTGGGTCCTGCTACCTCTGAGAAAAGAATATAAAGGAAGATAGGGTTTCCTGCTGTCTAGAAAAACTTCACCATGCCACTCAGGAAGTCCTGCATGAAAACAGCCAGTGCTCCTGAAGCTGGGAGGTTTGCTAGGGGAGGATTCTGTTTCACTCTCCAGCCTTGGGCCACTTTGAGGCTTTTTTGAATGGTCTTCCATTTGCTTTCTTTTTTTTTTTTTAATGTTTCAACTTATCTTAGCACTTTGGCTGCCCTATTTCAAAAGATCTCTTTGTGGGTTTTTTGTTGTTGGGGTTTTTTTTTTCTTGACCATATTAGCAAGCATCTGATGTTACTTGTTTTGGACTTTGTGTTATCTGAAAAGACTCTCTTTTTTTAATGTGAAAGTCGTTTTTCCAAAGAAAGAAAAATATCTCTGAAGCCCTTCAAAGACATGTTTCCAAAATGAACTAATGTCTGTTTTTCAGTAAATAATAATAATAAGGAAAGAAAGAAGGAAAACTCCAGCAAAGGGAAGATTAATGTAAAAGAAAAGTTACATGAGTAGGGACATAGAGTGCCTTAAAATTAGCTACTTTTCCTCAGAGTATCTCTTAGTATTTCAGAGTATCTCTTAGTGGATAGGTTACAGTATGGTTTTCATTCTCTAGATAGAAATTGGGGGGGGTACTAATTGTGAATTAATGTATTATATTTTAAGTTTAGAATTTAGGTGTCATGCTTAGTTGTCCCTTCTTAACATTAAACACCATGTTATCTCACAAGCCCATGAGTTACTTATGCTTTAATATTGAAATAAGTATTAGAAAGTTTCTTCATCTCGTCAAACTGGTAGCTCTCTGAACCCATACAGTTCACACAACTATAGTAAAAATGTTAGTTAAAAAAAAACAGATTTGTAAACTAAACTGATTGTCAGACATTTATGAAAGTGATCTAAAATATTGAGTTAACTTCTGAAAGCGGGCTGGGTACCTATGGCTCACTCCCATAATCTTGCTACTAAAGAGGCTGAGATCTGAGGATTGAGATAACAAATCTGAGAGACTCATCTCCAATTAACTAGCAAAAAGTCAGAAGTAGAGGTGAGGTAGAGTGTCAGCCTTGAGTAAAAAGGCTAATGAGAGCACCCCTCACCCCCCCAAAAAAAAAATGCTAGAAGTGTTTTCCCTACTGGGAAATAGTTCTGGAAGAGCCTGAGACTCAGACCATTTTGTTCAAGGAGACTGGAAAAAAAAGAGACCTATGTCAGTAAAACATGATTACATTGGCTCTTTTGTAATCAGAACTTTTAAACTTAATAGCCAATATCATATCTCCTACATATCCTGGGGGTTTGTTGTTGTTGTTGTTTTCTTTACATAATGTGCTTGGTTGTTATCTTAGTGCAGTTGTTTTTTCTTTGTCCAGTTGATCTACATAAAAAATATTAATAAATGTATCTGTTTGTTGGTACTATGCAGTCAAGTTTGTGTTATCTATGGTTTCATGGAAGCCGGTTCTAGAAGAATATCTTTCTTTGAACTGAGAATAGATGTAAAGATTGTCAAAGGACATTTTGTAACCGCACTTCTGAAAAATGTCATGCAAAGATGGATCTGACGATAGGAGCTCACCAAGACATTTAGGCTTAGGCTCCACCAAGTATATTGCAAATGTTTTGTGGCCACTTGAAATGTATGTGTTTGAAACAACAAGTTTTAATATGGCCCCACCACTTAAAGTGGTGACAGAAAAGCTGCATTCTTTTCATGGCATTCCTGTTCAATGACACCATGACCCACACAGATCTGAGCGGGGCCTCATCCAGCTCCCTGACATAGCTGGAGTCATTTTACCAACATGTCATGCTTGTATTTGTCCACGCCCAATGAAAATAAGCTTCTCCTTCCTGTGACTCCATCAGATCAAAGTGCATTGTTCTGGTTCCCTGTCTGCAATGTTGGGGACCATCCGTTGTAACCCGTTCCTCATTGGATGAAAACAAAAAGCAGTCCTCAAGCCAAGTTTGAGTCTCTTGAGAAACACTCCTGTGTTTCTGGCCTTGCTCCCCTGGTGGCCTCACTGTGTGTGATGTTTGTACCTTGTGTTTCCTCAGTCCTTTCCCATTCTCCACAGCCCCCAGGCTCCCTGTCACACACCCTGCCACTATTATAATAGAGCATAAAAACCAGAGCCACTCTGCTCACCTCTAAACATGTTTCTGGAAATGCTAAATATGTAACCCCACAATCATATACTGCCAAAATTAGATTTATGGGAAATTCTGATAGCAGCAGTTGTGCCTCGTTTTATTCATTTGTACACCAGTTCTCTGCATTGCTGGGGGACAGCTGTTTAATTTCTTAATAGCTTCCATTTTTAGCTTTGGTGAAGGAGTGGCGAATTGTAATTACTGTTTCTGACAGTTTGGTTCAAAAGCATAATTTCCAACTCTGTTTTTTTTTTAATTATAAGTTACTGGGATGTATAACACTCATAAACTTTTGGCCTGTGAAACATTACAAGGTACTTGGTACCCTTTTTAAAATAGCTTGGTTAGATTCCTTCAGTGACAGTGAGAGAATCCAGAGTCATACCAAGATGCCTCAGACCTCATCATGTGCTTCCTCTGCTTCTAAGCACAAAAGAAGCTCAGCAGTTGCCCCTCAAACATTCTTAGGCACTGGCAAGCTCAGACCTCTGGGTCAAACGGGTTATCAGTGGTAAGCTGCCTGCCAACTTGACTTTGAAATGTTTCTAGCATGATTTAAATATAACCAGATTGTTATTGCTCTCTTCATAACTTACAGAGAGCTAGTTAGCCTACTTTTTTGTATCCAATCAAGATGGCTCCAGTGCACCACATCCTAATAGCTTTGCCAACATGAGTTAATTTCTTCAGGAACAGAGATACAGCGCTACAACTGAGCACAGAACTGAGTGTGTCTATCACAGTGGCTGGCCCAGTTGTGAGTCTCAGAAGCAAGTTCACACCCAGCTCTCCAGATTCCTGACTCCTTCCTCTGTGCCAGGTTACCACCACCTGGTTTCAAACAGCATGCAACTGAAAACAACCCCATGTCAGTGAGCTGGGTTTCTGTTTGTTCTTCCATATTTGTGTAAAGCCTCAGAACCTAGAGATCTCAAAACTCATCTAGTTGACCCTTTTCCTTCAGAAATGGAAGTTACCTAGCCAGCTGAGAAAAAAAAATACCCATATGGGGTCCTTCCATTGGAGGGAGCTGAAAAGGGAGTCGAGTTAACATCAACATTCTGGCACTCAGCATGCCTGAGATCTGCCAGACCCTCTTTTCTTGGGAGTGAAGGCCCCAACTCTCTTCTAGCCTTCCCTCCCACCTCCTACTCTCCATCCACTTTTGGATGATCTTTTGAAGATCTTCTCTGGATCTTTTGAAATGTCAGGAACAAAACTGTATACAGTAACCACGGCTGTGATCAGCTGCTCATTTTCTGCTTAAAGGCATAGCACTCCAACAGTCTTCCCTGGAGCATTTATTTGTTAAGACTTAAAGGTTTACTCTTTGGTACCTGGGGCTGAAAAGCTAGACAAAGAGGATGGCTCCTCTCTCAAATTTCCCTTTGGTACAACTTTAAGCCTTACATTGTCCTATGTGGACTGTGAAGACCAGTACACATTCTCTCTCTGTCTCTCTCTGTGTCTCTGTGTCTCTGTCCCTCTCTCTCTTTCTCTCTCTCTCTCTTTCCAACTCAGATATTCCAGTGCTTTTCTCTTCAACACGACTGCCAGGCCCCTCAAGCTTTCTCTTCTAGTCATGCCACATACAAATAAATACAACTCTTTGTGGCTTTCTTTCCTTGGAACCTCCTTCACCACTCTCTCTTCGGGTCAGATAACCTCCAGACAGCTGATAAAGCTGATGTTACTACTGGTGAGGATAACAGCTACATTTTAATCAAGGTTACCCATGTAAGCCAGGTCTTTGGTTGCTGTTGGGTGGCCCTGCCCTTCTTCATTCTCAGGGTGACTCGACAAGGTTGGATCACAGTGGAGGCTTAGAGAAGACCAAGGACAGACAAACGGGAAAGGCCCAACTTTAAAGCCTATACTCCTCTCCCGCTCCCATCTTGTGATGCTATGTGGATTTTGGCTGGTGACAAAGCTCACTTGAAATTTCCCTTTGGTACAACTTTAAGCCTTACATTGTCCTATGTGGACTGTGAAGACCAGTACACATTCTCTCTCTGTCTCTCTCTGTCTGTGTCTCTGTGTCTCTGTCCCTCTCTCTCTTTCTCTCTCTCTCTCTTTCCAACTCAGATATTCCAGTGCTTTTCTTAATTTCTTTAATCCATAGAAAATAACCTAATATAAGCCAAGGCGCTGGTGGCTCACGCCTGTAATACCTAGCTACTCAGGGGGCTGAGATCTGAGGATCAAAATTCAAAGCCAGCCCAGGCAGTAAAGCCCGTGAGACTCTTATCTCCAATAAGCCACTCAGAAAACCAGAAGTGGCACTGTGGTTCAAGTGGTAGAGCACTAGCCTTGAGCTGAAAAGCAGAGGGACAGCCCCTAGGCCCAGAGTTCAAGCCCCATGACCGACCAAAAAGAAAGAAAAGAAAAAGAAAAGCAAAAAGAAACAAAATAACCTAATATTTACAAGCATTTTTTAAGTATCTAAATATACACTAGTCTTTCCATTTTCAGTAAAGATGATAAATCCCAGAAAATTCTTTTGAGTGGTTTGGAATCTTGGATGTGGAGGGGGGCGGGGAGGAGGCATGTTTTCTTTGAAACATTTAGCTAAAAAATGAGAACATGCTTGCCCTAATCCTCAACACTTTGAAAGGCATATTTTCTATCTGGTTGAAACCAATTTATTTTACAGTTTATTCTTTCACACTGATTTTTTTTCAAATGTTGTTGGCTCTT